CCCCACTATAGTCTCTAGGTCCCTACATTACGGCTTACGGTCTTCAAAGGGTTTAGGGTTCTGGGTTTAGGGTTTAGGGTTTAGGGAGCCGAGTTCGGGCTGTGGGTCCATCGATAGGCGTCTGAGCGACGTTACGGGCTGGTGGAGCTGAAAGTCTGATTAGGGGGTTTTAATTGTTCCTTTACAGGGATCCATAAGGGCTCCTTAAACGGGTTTATAACGGTTCTATAAAGGGGCTTAGGGTTTCTAGTAGGGGCCCAAAAGTTGGAAACTCAATAGCCTCAATCGTTAAGAGCAATGTATGGGGAATTCCAGCACTATTTGTCCTTATCCGGTTTCCAACTTTGTGGGGTTTACGATAAGTTGTTACTAAGTACTCTTAACCCGAAACCCTAGAACTTAAATCTTTAAATCTGAAACCCACAGGCTTAAACCTTTAGCCAATCGCTGAACCCGAAACGGAGATTTGGGGGAAGCGACCTTGGCGTTCGGACTTCAACACTAGTGCGAGCTGTCATGTCTATTCGTTTTACTGTTTTGCTCGAATTGCTTCCTCCTTTCGTTTTAGGTGTTCTTGAGGGTCGCATTTCGAAAATGAAATCTCGCAAAACGACAATGAAACCTCCCAAAACGCTAATCTAAGAGAGGGCTCGCTGCAGGGTGCCTAAGCTTAGCGGAGGGCACGAGAACGGCGATCTTCTTGATGGGATCCGAAACACCAAACCCTCCAAATGAACGCTCAACCCCAATCCATAAACCCAAAGCTTTGACAACCCTGAACCTTCCAAAACCACTTTTCAAACCTTCGCACAACATCTCCGAAACTCTTTGGGAGGATCTTCGTACCCCCTGAAACCAAAAGCCTCAGCCCTTACAGCTCCAGTACCCTTGCATCGAACTCCTTCTGGTACGCTTAAATCAAAGGGGAAAAGGAGGGACCCTTAATAAGGACCCCTAGGTATATACCCTTCATATAGCTATGATATACCCGATTATATAGCCCATTATAGGGTAGGGGCCCCTCCTTTTCCCCTTTGATTAAAAGGATAAGCATAAGCATTTTATGGGGATATCCCTACCTTATTGGGCTTCCTTTTAAGGGGCTTTATATGGGATATCCCTAACCTCAATTTTGCTTATGTGCTTTTTCGGGGCCCCTATGTCAAGCGAACTGCGGCCCTGGGGCTGTCGACCCAGTCGCCCGATAGCTCCGAAGCAGTCGGAGCGGGGAGGGGCGGCCGGATGATCGGCCTGGGGAGTCAAAACGAAGTGCTCGGAGGCTCTTAGGGTTCTTCTATACTGAAAATGGTATTTTTAGATGTTTCTTAGGGACTATAACAACCGAAAAATTCAAAAGTATTTCTAAGTACCCCTAAGTTTTGTTTTAAGCCCCTTTTTTAATGTCTGCCAGATTGTCGGCAAGCACCAAGGCTCTTTGGGTTGAGGGCTCTGGGTTTCGAAGCCTCCTCTCTGCGGGCTCTAAATGCGTTGGAGAGATAGAGGTTTATAGGGGTTTAGAGTACTTTGGGGTCTGGGCTTCGAGTTACAGCTTCAGCTTTAGTGCGTGGGTGCTTTCTTGGACTTCAAGGTTTAGGATTTAGGGTCTGGGGTTCAGGGTTTGGTGCTTGGAGTTCAGGGTTTAGGCTGCAGGGTATTGTGCCCCTCAACCTTACCTTTGGTTGGTGTGGAATGGAGGAATGGAGTACAATTATAACTACTATCACTACCATTCTTCCATTCCCTACTATCCAAAGGTAAGCAACAGAACCGATGGTGGCGCCTCTCGCAGGCTCTAGGAAGCCCACACATCACACCACCTCTGTGCACAATCTGAACCCGCAAACCCGAAACCCTGTGAACCCTAAGACCCTAAGACCCTGTGAACCCTAAAACCCTAAAACCCTCAGACCCTAAGACCCCAAACCCTGTGAACCCTAAACCTACGACCCTAAACCTGAGACCCCGGCGCCGACAGGACCGTCGCCTTTCTTGTCGTTGGCTCCCCTCGTCCTGAGCCGAAGGGCTGCACTGATTGGGTTTAGGGTTTAGGGGTTTAGGCTTTAGGGGTTCAGGGTTCAGGGGTTTAGGGTTTACGGATGCTTTGGGTTAGGACCTCACCGTGTCGCCGGCAACATCAACAGCAGCGATGAGAGGAAGGAGATTCGTGAAACAAAAGAAGGCGGTTTAAGAACATGACTCTGATAACACTAGTCACAGAGCAATATTAGCCAGCCACCACCACCGCCGCCACCACCACCAGCAACACCATCAACACCATTTCCCCATCATCACCGACGGCGGCGACGACGACGGCAATAGAAAAACTCCGAAGTTCACAGGAAGCCGAGGGACACGGGAGAGGATGCAAGGATGAGGTAGTTGTGTGTGGGTTTGGGGTTAGTGCCTCGGGTTATAGCTTAGGGTTTGGGATGCAGGGTTTAGGTTTGTGTAGCTTTCCATAGGGTCTTTTAAACTTTCCGGCTGCATGCGGAGACCATCAGCCCAGAATCTGAACGATATCACTCAATCCACAATCTCCCCAACCCTAAACCGCTACCCCCTGAACCTCCTAAACTTCCTAAAGGCTCATCCCCTAAAACCCTGATCTGTGATCCCTGCCAGCCAAGGTGCCTTCTTCGTAAGCCTCCTGCCACTCTCGCTGCAGGTCCAGGTGAGTTTCATGCCTGAGCATTGGGGCGTAGGGTTTGCAGTTGGGATTTGCAGCCGAAGGCCTTCGGGATCGAAACTCCACGCATGTAATTCAGCGTTCATGCTGTCAGGGTTTGGGCTCAGGGTTCGTTCGTGGTTTAGGTCTGTTGGAACATGAGGGTCTGAAGGTTTAGGAGCTGTGAGAACTGCTGCAAGCCGACTACGGTTTCGTGGCCTACATATAGTTGGAAACCTCACGGAGAACGAAATCAAATCAGCAGGCTTCTATATTGAACCCGGAAGCATTCTAAACCATTCTAGACCTTAAACCCTTCCAGACTTCGTGACCTAGCGGTTTGGTGGCTTGGCGCTTCGGATCTGGCGCTTTAAGGTTTCAGGCTCAAAAAGTGTAAGACTGTGGGGCTGGCTTCAGGTTTTAGATTCCGGGATATCGGGCCAAGAACTTCCGCGGTTCTGAGCAACGCAAGAAACTTGCTGAGAGCTGCAACCGCCTATGACCAACAAGACCTAGTGTTCGATATTCATAAGAAGGAACCCCCAACATAGTGCTGCTAATTATTCAGGCCCCTATATCTCCCCTATAATAACCAACAAGACCTAGGCATCCTCATCGGGCGTCCGGCCTCTCTTCGGCCAAGTCTGGCAGGTCGACAGCACGGGGCGTGGAAGCTTCAGAATCGCTGAGCAGCGTGATGAACTCCTTCACCTGGCTTGGACTCTTGGGGCTGTGGGTTTAGGGTTCTCATAGCCCCTGACAGCGGTTCCGAATCTTATGCAGGCTGCCTGTAGGAGAACTCGTAGTCGTAGGTAGTGGGCAGTTCAGCATCGTCGCACATTGCCCCAGTGATGCTGCTACCACCACCAGCACGATCACGACGACGACTACTACTTCTACTACTACTGATGAGTGTTGCTTTGCGATCATCATCACTGTCGTTACAGCACCTGCGTCAATGACTGTGATCGTTCTTGCCGCTGTTCATCTTGTTTCAAGTGCTTCCCATTGCCTCTCTATGAAAAGCTTCACCGTAGCACTCCGAGTTTCAGCAGCACCAGTGTTGCCCTCGTCGACGTCGGAAGCTTGGACATCATCATGAGCATCATCATCATGACAAGTAGCGGTAATATAGGTGCCTAAATAATTAGAATGTCGGTTTTGGGGCCCATTATACTTTGCTTATAGTAAGGAGGCCCTAAAATAGTATAGGTAATTACTTAGGCCCCTATATTATGCTAATGATTAGCCTTCCCTACACCCTAAACCCTAAACCCCTAGACCCTAAACCCTATCCCATCTACACTCGAGTCCCACGGCCTCCTCGCTGCAGAAGGCGTAGAGCTGGGAATCTTCGAGGCCTCCCCCTTTGCAGTAGCCAGCTCTCGTCTTTGGCTCCGAGAACTCGGCTTCCAGATCTCTGACGGAGATCGGGGGTGTCATAACTGCGAGCCCCGGCGGGGGATCCGAATAGCCTCCGGACGACATTCAAAAAGGGTCCAAAGAGCCTACAGCCTACGATAGGAACTCCATTGCGGGCGTTCCTTGAGCAAAAGCTTCAAAAGTCTGCGCGAAGGGGGCGTAGAGTGCACGCTCTCGTGGGATCACAGAGGGTTCTTTAGATGCTGTGTTTTTCAAGCTCAGCCCTTGGCCTTCAGGCATGACAGTTTTTTATGGGAGTTTCCAAAAATTCGGGGGTACCTTATTTTGGGGTCCTTATAGGATCCGACTATTTAGGGTACTATAATATGAGGGTCCCCTATTCTCGGAAACTCTCATATTTGGCGGCTTCGTGCCATGGACTGCATCACAGCTTCAATGATGTACCAACAGATCGGAGTCATGGCATGCGTAAGTTGGATGCTGGCTTCGCTTCGCTGTACATCCGGTCCGGTTTACGATTCCCAAACCTTGAACGGGAACACTGACTTAGAACAGAAAACTCCATATCAGCAGCAATGCCAGCATCTCCATGGCGATACAAACCACGGACGAGGCAGAAAGCAGACAAAACAGTTACACTGCTAAGTTTACAGTAGTTTCCTTGTCGGGGTGCACAGTCAACAAAGCTTGCCGTGTCAGCTGCCTTGTTCCCGGAAATCCTTGGTCCTTGATACCAAGCCGAGCATTTAACCACCTGAGAACTTATATCCGAGCCCCAACTACACCCTAAAGCCCAAGCTTTAGGGTTTAGGGTTTAGGGGTTTAGGGTTTAGGGCTTAGGGTTTAGGGTTTAGGGTTTAGGGTTTAGGGTTTAGGGTTGAGGGTTTAGGGTTTAGGGTTTAGGGCTTAGGGTTTAGGGTTTAGGGCCCACAACCCCAAACTCTAAACTCAC